GTTTGGCATGAAATGCATGTATACCCGGTTTTTGTAAATATCTCTTCATCCAATGACCCAATCGATCTCAAACTGTGCAAGTGGATGTTTTGTCAGACAACCTAATCACATTGTAAATCACCGATTTTATGCATTTGTATTAAAGAATCTGTCTATGTAACTGTCAACAAAATAAACAGCAGAACGCAGACTGCTTGCAGAGAGAGGGAGCCAATGACCTGTAACAGCGGCAGTGTTGGGTCAGAAAGGTAAATGCACGTGCAGTTCATGATAGTTACCTGTGCACTGCATAGTGATAGACCGTTTGTTATGTCCATTGTTCCGTATACCACTAGCGTATGTTATATCCACGCTTGAGGAGGGTGCTAACGTATACATAATCACTGTTGTGGCTAGGTGAATACTATAATATAACTTCCTTATTGCTATTACCATTGCTATTATGTTTAAAACCGCCATTATAATTCTACCGCCTGATTTTGTAGTTCTGTTGTGTACTGCCACAGCAATTACTTACAGTAATTTGTATTGATTTGTAATCCAAGCTAATTTCTACTACATTTTTATGTTGTATAACATTTCTTTGGCGTATCGATATTTTGGGTAAGTTGTTGTTTCATCTTGACAACGCCAACAGACAAACACACAAACATAATTATCATGGATTCGAAAGTAAGCATGATATATGCATCTACACACATATCTAGAGACCCGTGAAGATATGGGTTAGAATTGGTCTTCAGTAACCCATGCTTGTGGTAAGAGGCGACTAACGGTATCGGGTGGTCAGACTCGCTGACTTGGATGACACATGTCATCGTAGATCGATACTCCTGCTGTTGATTACTGGATTGTGTGGTCCAGACTCGATTATTTACAGACCGCCGCCATATAGCTGGAATATTGCTGAGTGCGGCGTTAACCCCCTGGCTGCCATTTGGACATATATGTCCCTACACAAAACGCAGTTGGTGTGCCAGAGGGACATATATGTCCTTTTGTAACAACATGGTAAAAGTTAAATTATTAGAAATAAACACAACCCCAAGTCCAAAACAATGCAACATTTAAAAGTATAGTAAATTTCCAACAATTGTGCGTTATTTTTATAACTGTACCATACATACAAATTGTATATGGAGGTAGTCAAAATCACCTTGTCTCACTAACGATCAAACTTCACGCCATTGGAATATTTTAAGATTTGGAGCACACTGCACTATCTGATTGGAAAAAAAAACATTGTAATTCACAGTTACACAACAACTTAAATAAATTTATATTTGAATGAAAATGCAAGCTTACATTTATAACGTCCAGATAAACCACGAAAGAAGCAAAAACTATGGCGATTTTTTCCATTTGTGACATCTCATAACATGCCCGTGCCTTTTTCTTTTATATTTTCATTTTTACGTAATCAGAAAATTATTATAAAAAGATTTCTTAACCCCCTGGCTGCCGAGTTTTTTTTCAGGCGCACATTTTCATACAGTTTGAAAAGTGAACGTTGTGCGAGAATTGCTCTCGCGTGGTCCTGGATCTACGTAAGGCTATAAAATTACACAGAAATGTAGAATATTAAATTTCCTATCCGTTGGTATAAATATAAGTGCAACTACCTTGGCGGTTTGAGAAATAGACCTTGCTAAATGTTGTCCAAATTTTTGTTATGCGTTAAAAAACAGTAAATTTCTCCGCTTTTTATCGCGCACCGATAAAAGCACTGTGCTAGGAATTTTTTAATGGGGCATCTTTACGGAAAGTGTGAGCGAAGAAAATACAGCCTGATATCTGAACGACATAAGTGTATATGAATTGGGTTTATGTGCTTGTGCATAACGTTATACGCTCAACATTAAAATGACTCGCAATAAATGTCAAAATGTATTTTCTTCTATGACGTCAAACGACGACAGAGAGGTCATAAACGTATAATGATAAGGGGGCATAACTCCGTTATGCGTAACACTAGGTCAATGTAACTCAGATCACTTGGAGAAAATGTGTTGTGGATACGGACGCTATATTTTCGTTATTTTATATTCATGGTGAACCTCACTATTCCAATTCAAAGTTCCCCAATGTGAACGGATGCGCTTTGGTAGTTTCACAATTTATAAGAAAAGATGACAACGTATTACATGTGAAAGCACGTAATAGCGATTTGGATGGCCCTATCCGATATATAAGTTAGTTCTTAGATTCCCATATTCTCCTGTTTGTGTAGATGTAATTTGACTAATTTTGCATCGTTATTACCAGAGTACTAGCCATATCTTCAAATGTAACGAAATTGCTGAAAATAATACAACATTTTAGTTGACGTCATCGCTTGTTTTATGCATTTTGCGACGTTGGAAAACGACGACACTGGTATGCTGATTAGCATATATCTCACTTAATTTCCATTCATTGTATAAAAGGTCTAGACTTCTATGTCAGAATTTAACACTCTTTAGACAAAACATAAAATGACTGATTTTTCCATTTAAATAGTGTCCTGAATATATCAACAATTAGACAGTTTGACAGCGTATCTTATTGTGACCAACACGCGCACCTGTTTGGCATCAATTTAACGTAAATAGAAATAATATTTCACAACACCCGAATATTTTGTTTGGGATAAGAATTTTGTTTGTTTATGATTATGAAGCTATTTCTCTTCATACGTATGCAATGAAAGATGCATAAAGATAGCTTTTTATATATGGAACTATATATTAGAATATGGATATAAGATTTGTCCGAATTAACACATGAGATGGTATATATATTTTTCAACAATTTTCCTATAAGTAGTTAGAGTTTGATATCCTGTCTTCACAATATTATTTAATCGAATATGAATTGAATATATTATCGAAAACAATGATAGAGAATCATAAAACGTTTCCAACAAACGCGCACCTTGCCGATCTATATGCATCATTCTTTTGTCTATAAAACGACACAAAATTATGCAATGAACAAGACAATTCCTTTAAATATGTGTGCATGTACATTTCATACCATATATAAATCATTGTCATGAATATTATCAGTTTTGCATATAAGGTTGAATTATATCACCGTTCATTAACCTGTTCATATGAAATTGCAATATTAGTCCAAATAAATTGAATATTGTACATCATAGGACTGACTGACTGACTGAGTTTGGTTTTACGCCGCTTTTAGCAATATTCCAGCAACATCACGGCGGGGGACACCAGAAATGGGCTTCACACATTGTGCCCATGTGGGGATTCGAACCCGGGTCTTCGGCGTGACGAGCCAACGCTTTAACCATTAGGCTACCCCACCGCCCCTACATCATAGGAACTAAAGTAATTGCAGTTATGGCTACGTTTGATCTTCTAACACTTGTGTAAAGGTTTAAAATATGGTGTATTGCAATAAATATGTCAATTTCTTATGTAAATATGATTCAAACAATCAAAAAACTTTCAAAGAATAAAACACCGTAAACCCTATATGCATGTATGATATGATATTGAACAAGGCTAAATGTAGATACTGAAGTCAGTTTCCTGAAAAAGTATCCGAACTATCCGCAAAATATACATCATAATACTGACAGTGTAATCGGAAGGATATGGCGATTGTGTTTACTCTTGTTCAACCGACCTTCACCTCAAAGAAATTGCCTAATATGTACAACAATGTTGACGTATGACATCACTACCGCTGACCGATTTCTTACAAAATGGCGGCTTTGCTGACAAGGGTACACAGGATTTTGCGAGGACCCTTCCACTGATTCAGGGATCGTTTGTACATAAATATGAGATGTAAGTAATCAGAATGATTCTGACTATCTGTGTATTGTTATATGTTTTTATCGTTTTCACTATACGTAAGAGAAAGGACAGAAATGCAGATAATTACCGTTGTCGTTCTGCGTGATTTGGCGTCAGTCATGGCGTCACGCTGCACGGAAACTTTGACAATTTCTTATGAATTATCAAATCATTGCATTGTATCTATTTATAATTTCCTATTTCTTGCTACGATACTCTTTCCATGTATATTCTAAAGGTATTGAGCCATTGCAAGCAATGAATAGACGGATGAATGTTGAAAAAATTCAGAAAATGCTGCGCAGTGTAAAATCGGAATTTGTCTTTGTTTACATTTCACACAAACGCAGTCTTTCAAGCACAGCGTTCGTTTTCACACCCAATATGTTTCGTCTCATTTTATCTAGACAGTTATTATTGGTGACACAGACCAGTTTCAAATTGATTCTAAAATGTATGGGGAATTTAGTGATGCATTTTTCGAAGCTGAATATGAAATATACGTGATGTAATAGGCGTCTCAATACCGGCCTTCGCGAAACGTGATTTTGTAAACACTATCCAATATGGCGGAAAGCGCTCTACGGTGTTCGTGTAAGTGCATTTTCGAAAACATCCCAGCGATTCTAGATTCATCGGCAACGTTTCAGAATTATAATTAGCGAAATCATGTAAAACTGATATCAGTGATCATAAATATGTTATTTTTTGAAATTCAATACTCACAGTAATTATCCGATTTTCACATTGCAAAACATACAGCAAATAACGCTGTGAATCGCGATTTCATACTGTGTCAAAAATGTCGCCATTTTCGATGAAGCCTATTTTGTAAGGTCATTTTCAGCACTTGAGCTTTGTTTAAAATAATAGTGGATGGTATCAAGAAACAGGGAATTTCCCGCAGAATTCGAAACTGTGAAGTGTATTTGTGTGCGTGGGATATTTTGATTTTTATTCGACTTCAAATTGAGGGTTGAAGGGGGAAGGACATATATGTCCCTGTGGCATCCAGGGCGTTAAACAACAAACCAACATATCTAGACGTATGTACACTGGACGGGATTGCATTAAGTAATGAATGTCCATTATGTTCCAATAAACACATGCCTATATTGCTAGGAGGGGCGTTAACAATGTATATGTCACGTCACTTTCAGGACAGAACGTTGAATTAACGTAGTATCCACTTACCTGCTCAAGACTCTCTGGTGGACATAGGTACACCAACATCTGTCACAATGCACCTGTCACTTCAAAGTGCTCGCACAATACTGATCGTCTTCCGTGAACAGCAACACAATTCTACGAAATCGTCCGCTTGCGTCATTTTAATGGCCATATATGTAGTTTCGATTTAGGTGCAGTGCGCACATGTCGCTTCTTCATCAATATACATGACCTCGAGGTCAAATGGAAAGAATAACAACACTGTTTGCATTGAAGCTTCGAATTGAAATTGGATGATTTGAATCCAAGTCACGAAATAACTAACTCAGGTTTTGAGGGGCATTTTAGAAGTTGTAACGATGAAGGAAAACCAAGCTCTATGGATAGTCAACAACTTTTCTTTGAGTCGCTTCCTTTAGCAACTGCTAGGCAACACCGTCAACATTAGCCTAGATATGATATGTTTTTTTGTTTAACGCTGCACTCAGCAATTGAGACTAAGCAAGGCAATCGATCGAAACAATTAGCATATGATGACATGTGTCAACCAAGTCAGCGAGCCTGATCCCGTTAGTCGCGTCTTACGTTAAGGATGGGTTGCTGAAGACCCATCTAATCCAGATCTTCACGGGTCAATAGATATCTGGGTCATATGACTTATCGTGCTGTATGATGAAGAACAGATAATACACATGCTTCAGTTCGTAGATATATGCTTCAGAAAAGTACTTGTAACACTTTCCCATTTGTGGTTTATAACGTACTGGCTTAAACTTCTAGAAACATTAGTGAGTGACTGAGTGAGTGAGTCTGGTTTTATGCCGCTTTTAGCAATATACCAGCAATATCACGGCGGGGACACCAGAAATGAGGGGAATCGAACCCGGGTCTTCGGCGTGACGAGCGAACGCTTTAACCACTAGACTACCCAATCGCCTCCTAGAAACATTAAGAAAGGTTTTTATAATACGTATAGACAGAATAACTGAGTAAATGGGGTTCAAAAGTTATTATACGGTAGTGTTTTTAAAAATATTTGGCATCATCAATATGTACATAGTGAAGACTTTATCCAAAAAATTGCTATATTACAGAATGTTGCGCGCGCACGCACATACACACACACACACACACACACAAAACATGGCTGCAGTCTAAAAAGGGTTCATTAGAAGACGTTTGTTGTGACCTTAAACCTAGAATGGTCTTAGGTGTAAAATAGACATGAATATTCATCTTCAGCACAACAGACGTTAACCCCACAATCTGGAACTGTCAGTGAATGAGTATATTGGTTTTCATGCCATTTGGAGCAGTATTTTAGACGCTGCATTAGAAGTGAGCGAGTTTAGTTTTATCCCGCTTTTAGCAATATTCCAACAATATCACGGCTGGGGGACAGCAGAAATGGGCTTCGGCGTGACAAGCCGACGCTTTAACTATTAGCCTACCCCACTGCCCCTCTTTTGCAAGAAATAAGAAACAACAAAACAGTGACACTGAGATGATGGGTGTACATTAATTGGTACCGTACTAATTCTCCAACTATATGCTGGTGGCATGTTATTCAGGAAATATGGACTTCATAATCCGGTGATTAATATCATGGGCACAGTCAACCATGTCACAATCAGATGCATTTAGTAATGATTTATTAGAAAACAATTGTAATATGTTCGTTCATTTACTGCCTACCTTTAAATGATGTTTGAGTTATGTTTTTGAACTGAATGGCCTACTTTTTTTCTTTTCTACAAGCTTCGTTAGTTTCACAAATCCCACAGAGAAATAATGCCATAGAAACCAAGATACTAAGAGAGACGAAGGCATAAACATGGTACAGCATTTAGGCTAAAATACAGGTAAAACAGTTTCTCTTTTCATTTCAGGAAGGAGCGGTGGGATAGCCTAATGGTTACAGTGTTTGCTCATTACACCGAAAACCACGGTCCGATCCCTCACATGGGTCCAATGTGTGAAGTCCATTTCTGGAGTCCCTCGCTGTGATTTTTCTGGAATATTGCTAAAAGTGGGGTAAAACCATGCTCACTCACTCATTTCAGAAGGACTTGGAGCCAGTGTTTGTTTCGAGTCTCGGGTTTATTTGTGGTGTTTTGGTTGTTTAAAGACATAGGCAAAATGTAAACTGCACAGGATTATTTTAGTTCTTTGAGATGAAAATCATGGTAACACCAACCTCATCATTTTGATGGATTAATAAGTGCCTAGGGGGAATCTGATCATTGCAATGTATGCTGGTCATTTTATTTCAGTCGGTTGTTTCCAAACGTTACCTCTGAAGTTAAACAACAGTGCAGCCTTCTACATTATACAGAGCGTCAGAAGGGTTGTGCACCCGGTGGAGAACCTGGACACTCTCCTCATCAGCGCCAAGAGATCAGGAGGTACCAAGCCAAAGGAAGAGAAGACAGTGTACTTGGGATGCAAGCCAGACATTTCAAAGGCGAGGTCCGCATCAGTCTAAGTAAACTTAGGCTCAGTATTATTCGTTACACTGCTATAGCAGACTTAGACTGAGGTCTGCATATTTGCCACGTTTTTCTTGAATCTTGTTAATCACATTGCTGTCAAAACGGACAGAATATTCAATGATATAAATAACTTAACTTAACTTTATAAAAGCTATCTTCCTTCTAAGCCTCGAATCCGTTTCGCAGGATGATCGAGACTTTATTGCCTGGCTTCGACGTTGTATATTTAAATCAAGAATGGGCTTCACACATTGTACCCATTTGAGAAATCAAACCTAGCCTTCGGTGTGACGAGCTAACGCTTTAAATACAAAGGACACCCAGTGCCCTCTTTATACAACTTACATTTCTTGGAAGCGGCTAATTTAGGAAATACAAGTTAGAGCCCCCTGTGCCAATTCAGCTCTTACGCTGTTCACTCAAAATGTCTCTCTCGATCGCTGTCTGTAATCATTTGTAAAACGCCCATCGGCAACACTGACACATTGAGACACTGACTATAACAGAGGACGAAATGCCGTCTTCTCGTACAAGGTTTCCCCCCAAGGAGACGGCAACGCCAGGTTCCCCTTACCACAGCAAGCTTCATCAGTCACTCTTAACCGCATGGCCAAAGTTCAAATGGTTCAACCTGGTTGAACTAATGAAGTCAAGTCCCATGAGATTGTCAACTGCGTTAATCGTCTCTACCACCCACACATATACTATAGACTGGCACCTGCCCTTCGACCGATGGTGTTTCCTGAGCTAGTTTGTGTTGATGCCGTTACGGACACTACAGGGTTATATAAATAGTGTCGTTGTGATGTCGTTGGTGCCGGCCACGGCGTGAATGTTCATTAAGGACCATTCATAATTTATGGCTTGTGTGTGTGTGTGTGTGTGTGTGTGTGTGTGTGTGTGTGTGTGTGTGTGTGTGTGTGTGTGTGTGTGTGATGATGATGATGATGATGATGATTTTTATGGAGAAGCAAGTACAATGTGAATGACCCCCCTAAAATATATGTACAAAATAGGTGACCCCCCTGCATGTCATGTACAAAATTAATGACCCCCCTCCAATAAGTTCTAAGCATAATCTTGAACATATTTTTAAGCACAAAATTGCTGACCCCCCTAGCTCCCCAGAACAAAATGGGTGAATCCCCCTCCCCCATTTAAAATCATCATCACCCCCTTAGCCATAAATTATGAACGGTCCCTTAGAAGGTGATATGTCATTAGTGCAGTCGCGTAGCAAATATGTCGTTACTGGTGCCGTTACAATTACAGACCCCCTCCGCTTAACCCCTTCCACCAACAAAAACAAATACAAACGAACAGTGATACACATTGAATCTCTTTTTCTTTCCTTACAATCAGCAGAATCGCTCAACTTGCTTATGTAATTACAAATTAACAGAAATTTGCGTTTAATTCCAACCAATTCAGTAAAAGATCTACCTTGTGACTCAATATCTTGTCCATCACTTACTTGTCTGGACCGCCTCCGTGGTGTAGTGGTTAGAGCGTCCGCCCGGAAAGCGGAAGGTCGCGGGTTCGATCCCCGACCGCGTCATACCAAAAGACGTTAAGATATGGTACTTGTTGGTCCCTGCCTGGCGCAGAAGGAATGTATGGGTTGTTTTAGATACATTGGGGCATGGCCTGCCTACCCTCAATACGATGTATTCTATAATTTGTGATCACGACTATTTGTCATCCCTTCATACCGGGCCAAAACAACTTCATGTGTGATTCGGGTCAGTGAGGTAGCCTAGTGGTTAAAATGTTTTCTCGTCACACCGAAGACCCAGGTTCTATTCCACTCATGGATACAACGTGTGAAGTCCATTCCTGGTAACCCCCGCCATGATATTGCTGTAATAGCGTTCAAAGCGGCGTAAAGCCATACTCACTCACTCACCCACTCTTGTGTGATATGACACGTGAAGATCCGGGTTAGAACTGAACTTCAGTAACCCATGCTTGTCGTAAGAGGCGACTAACGGGTTCGGGTGGTCAGGCTCGCTGACTTGGTTGACACTGTCATCGTATACCAGTTCTGTAGATCAATGCTCATGCTGTTGATCACTGGATTGTTTGGTCCAGACACGATTATTTACAGCATATTACATATACAGTACCTGGCCATAAGTATTTGTGATTTTGGAAATGACGTTGTTTTTGCTAAAACGAATGCGCCGTTTAGATTCGCACCGCGAGACACATTCAGTGTTCAGAAACGCTGATTTTCTAAAAATAGATTCCCTGCCATGTGCCTGTCACGTGACATGCCTACAAGTTATCGTCTGCTTGTTTACTTCCGCTCTGGCTATCGTCTTCGCCAATGGGTCGTAAATCACATGAATTGACAACTGACACGAAAGAGTTGATTTTAAAATTATACTAAGAAAACAGAAAATTACAGAAATTGCTCAGCTGTTGGATAGATCTTGGTCAACTATAAAAAGTGTGGTAACAAAATATCAAGCGACTGGCTCAGTGGAAAACAAGTTGAGTTGAGTTGAGTTGAGTTGAGTTTTTTTACGTCACATCGGCATTATTCCAGCCATAAAGTGACGAGAACAAGTTTGCATTAATAGACATTGTAAGTACATACTCGGAATGAGTTTTATTTCAAAAGCATATATTCATTACATTGTCATTTAAAAACCGAAAAAGTCATAGCACCAAATTTAAAAGCAGCCATATCTTTAGTCACATTACACAGTTACATTTTATGATACAGATCAACTTCCCTCAGGTAGTTCACTATCAGATGAGCGCTCACGCGGGAGAACAGATTTGTTGCATCATAATGTGAGTCCCTTGCAGACGACAGGTCCACACAGTCAAGCAGAATATGCTTGATGGTGAAAACATCGT